CCCCCCCAACTGTCCCCGCCCCTTTTCCGCCAAACCACGCCCACCGAGCCACGCCCCCCACCGTCCCGGCCAATGGGGGGGCCGCTCCCCCCGCGCGCTGCGCTCCCATTGGCCGCGGCCGCGCCGGTCCCGGTGCCAAAAGGGGCCGCGGTGGCTCCGCGCGCTCCGCGCCCGCGGCGGCGGCGGCTCCGGGACCCCCCGACAGGGACACCCCCAAAAAAAAAACCGGGACCCCCTGCCCGCACACGCGCACGGCCCGCCAGGGACCCCCGACAGCCGCCCCCGCACCGGGGTCCCCCTCCCGGTAGGGATCCCCCGCACCGGGACCGCCCGATCTCCCGGTAACCGGGACCCCCCGGCAGCTGCGCTGTCCCGCCAACCGCGACCGCCGCTCCTCCGTTCCCGGTAACCGGGATCCCCGATACCTGAGCGTGCCCCCCGCAGGGTCCGCACCCCCCGGACCCGCCCCCCCCTTCCCGGTAGTCCCCGTTAACCCCTTCCCCCCCGTCCCCGCCTGTCGCCCCCGGTTCTGCCCCGCCGGGGCCCGACTGGCAGCTGCCTACGGCCGGGATGAGCCGCCGCGATGGTACGGACGGGACGGGCCGGGCCGGGCTGGGGACCGGGGACAGGCGCCGGTGGCACCGGGGACTGCGACAGCGGCCGGGATGGGACCGGGGACCGGCGGCACCTGGAGCGGGGAGCGGGGATGGGGAGCAGAGGCGGCGGCGGCGGAGAACGGGGACGGAGGTGGCACCGGGGACAGCTGGGGACGGAGATCGGTGACACCGGGGATGGGATCGGCAGCGGGGACCGGCGCTGGGGATGGGGACCGGGGCGGCCGAGCCCCGACGGCGGCAGGAGCATCACCGGGAACCGGATGGGGACGGGCGGGGAGGGACGGGGATGCGGTGGCGCGCGGACCGGGCTGTGGCAGTCCCGGAGACCGGGCTGTGGTGGCACCGGGGGCTGTGCCAGTACCGGGAACGGGGCTGCGGTGGCACCGGGAACGGGGCTGCGGTGGCACCGGGAACGGGGCTGTGGTGACACCGGGAACGGGGCTGTGGTGGCGCGGGGGACCGGGCTGTGGCAGTCCCGGGGACCGGGCTGTGGTGGCACCTGCGGTGACAGCGAGGTTGGGGCTGCGGTGACACCGGGGACGGGGCTGTGGTGGCACTGGGGTTGGGGCTGTGGTGGCACCGGGGACAGGGACACGGGACCGGGACAGGCTCCGAGCCGTCCCCGCTCCGGCCACACGGGAGCCCCGCAGGGCCGGGAGCCGCCTCCTCCTCCCCGGAGCCACTCGGGCACCGGGAACGGGCGAATCCCCGCGGGACCGGGACTGCCGGGGTGCCCTGTGTGGACGGGGGCTACCGGGGAC